TTGCATATGCCAAAAAATTATTGATATAAAGTGTATCTCAAAGCAGATAACTAACACAAGTTAAAAAAATCTTCAACATCAGAATAATATTTAAGTTTACCCAAGTAGCATTTGGACATTATCTAACGTCGGGTATACGTCGCGTTCAATAAACCCGACGTCAGGCACCAACGTCAGTTCGACCGCCTGACGACTCTTATTTGCACCTAAATGGGGAATACAGATTCGGGTCGCCTCGACGTCGGTATCTGACCTAATAGGGAATGTAATTCTACCAATTACCAACGTCATATTACGTTGGATTGTAGTTACTTAAAATTCGTCGCTAAGCACTTACGTTACGTTTGGTTTCATATTCGCTAGCAAAAATACATAAAAACCTAACCAAACTACCTAATTACAAATGGATTCATAATCACTCCTCGAATATAACTATAAGTGCCTACCTAATTTCATATTATAATAATTCTGAATCATTAATCCAGACATCAGTTTTGTCAACGGAAGTCACTTTCTTGATATATCTGGTTAAAATACTCCGGAAAACAACGAGCGCCTTCAAAATTAGGTAGATTTATGAAATAAAAATATCTATAAAAAAGTAACTCGCAAAATATTTTTTTTTATTTTCTAGCTGGTTTAATCATAAAACTGTACTGTGGTTCCCCCCAAACTCAACCTTATCAATATTATTCTACTAGAAATCGAAATGTGGATATAAATTTTAAAAACAAAAAACGATTTTAAAATGGCTGACAATCGGATACGTGTTAAGAATGGCGGATTTCTGTGTCCGACTTAATATGAACTACCAATATACCAATTCCGACCGGGTCTCCAACATTAGTCGTCTCACACGACCGAAGTCATCAAACCGGACGACCGGCAATCGTATTATGACGTATATAATTCCAACGTACGCCACGTAACCTCACTTTGCGTATCAGTGATTTGTGGATTTATGCAACTATATTTTAGTTTTTGTTTTCTCCTTAAAAAAATGGGCAGCCACATTTTTAAGCTCAACCTCACATGTCGGAGGAGGATGGGGTCTGCTGGTTTCCTAAGCTAAAAAATGAAATTAAGATGCACCAGTGTAATGCAGCATCTCTTCCGGATAAAAAGCATTTACGGGTGGAGGCAAGACATCACTACTACTACAATTATTATTTTGCAAAAGCCTCGACCTCTTTCTGCAAAATGTAGATGAATGTCTAAATGAATTTTTAGTGTTTTTTAGGCATAATAAAAAAATTAAGTTTGTTTACAAAAACTTTTTATTAGGTTATGTTCATGATGTTCATTAGGTCGCAAATGCTACTTAATGGGTTGTATTTACCGACGTAAATAGAGATACGTAAATTAGGTTATAAATATGAACATAAAATACAACAAAATATAATTGGACGTTACTTTAGGGATTATCAGTGAGACGTATCCTATTCGGACAACGGGTAGATGTCGGGCTAGTTCAAGTATATGTACGTCGTGCAAGCCAACGTGGGAACGACGTTGGGAAATTAATAAAAATGGTACGTTGTTATTTTGTCCGTCGACAGATCGTTGGATTTATCGACTCGGATCCAACGACGTCGCTTTTAATAGGAAAGCGACGTCACAGGTCGCATCACCAGCACCCGACCTAAATTTGCACAAAGTCTGACGTCGCTTCAGGTCAGATTTAGTTCGAAGTCAGATAGATGCTACTTGGGTATTTAATATTAAATATATTTTTTGAACACCCTGTATACATCGGTCCAAATTTATGTACAGCTAGTTTAAGATACACGCTATATCAATGTATTGTGGGTCTATGCAAAATGTACAATGCTTTTTGTACCATTTAGGACCAAATGTATGACTATTGTTTACAATCCCGCAATTTTGCGGATCCGCGGGATTGATTGTTTTAATCCCGAGGGTTTGCGGGATTGAGATTTTGGTGCGGGATTGCATTCCCTAAACACAATAGATCTAAAAACTTCGCAGTGAAACAGGCCGATAGCCATCTCGAAGAACCTAATCCCACCACCTTTACGCATACACGAAAAAATAAATTGTAATAAACCCCACAATTGTAAAAAACACTGCTGCATTTTTCCTCTAAAATGGTACTGGGTACGTTGTAGCTTTTATTTCAATCAATTTGTAGTTTCCAAATATGTTTGACTTTAAACGAAAGTAGCGAAAAAGTGTGGTGGTAAATCCTACAATTGTGTGTTTGTGAAAATAATCAGATTGTACTCGTTAAAATTTAAATGAAAATCATTATTACAAATTGTAGCACTACTAAATATATTTTTTGATGCAATTTGCTGTTACTATACACTATTGTAAACTGAGTTGGGGAAGAATAATAATTTTTAAAAAATGTCTATACCTATGTGGCACATTCATCTCTCCAAAAAAATCATATATGGGTATTTCGCAAAGATATTTAAACTCAATATAAAATCTTTGGTATTTCGCCACAAAGACTACAAGAAAATCTACAAAATAAAATAATTATTTCTTGTAAACACTGCTGCGTTAATCCAACGGAGACTACTTGTCAGCCGTTTACTCTAGGTCAGCAGATTTGCCTAACGAACGTTCTGTTAAAATTGATTTTAACAGAACGTCAACGGTTTTTATAGACGTATCTGTTTTAGAAAAAAAACTAAAGTGTTCTGGAAGAGTTGCATTTAAATATTTTAAATAGTTTTTTTCTTTATTCTTTGTATTTTTTTGATTCCGACGATGGAAAGAGATAAACTTTCCGAAACGTTAAGCATTTTTTTGTTCGTTAGGCAAATTTATTTATCCCTAAACCTAACTGTTCACAAGTAGTTTCCTTGGGATTAACGCCAGCAGTGTTTACAAAAAATAACTATTTTATTTTGTAGTTTTTCTTGCAGTGGCGAAATACCCATATAGGATTTTTTGGAGAGATGAATCCGCCACATAGATATAGACCTTTTTTACAAATTGTAGCATTACTAACTATATTTTTGACGCTATTTGCTGTTACAAACTGAGTTGGGGAAGAATAATAACTTAGCTAATACAACAATTGTGTGTCATATGTTTATAAAAATCTAAGTACAATGCTCTGGCTTTTTTATTTTTATATGTTTTTTGTGCATACAAGTTCTTATCCGAGAATAGCAAAAAATCTGAAATAATCAACAGCTTCCATGATACACTCATAAGTTTGTTCTGGTCTAAAAAAAATATTAATATACAGCAACTAGCAGAGGACCAAAAAACTAACAGTTAGCTCCGAATCGCCCATATGTTGGTAATTAAGTATTCATTGAGCCGGGGTCCCGGGCACCGCTCACAGCGTCGGTTTTAAGGTAGCCTTTCCGCTGAATGAAAGAAAGAAATATGGTTACGTGGGACGGCGCGTGGGAAGAGCGCGTTAAGGCACTCCTAATTCAAATATGCCGTTTATAATGCATTTGGGCTCGATAAAACGTATGGCTAACCCAAAAACCGAATATACGGAGACCGGTCAGAAAGTATATAATATATACTCGCATAGTAGAGAGTATATCCTAACTTATAGACACAAAAGATATTCTAATAAATATCACAACACTGGAAATAGAAGAAGAATATATATTTAGGACTACTAATAGACAGCCCAGGATCTCTACTACCAGAAATCAACAGAGGAATTAAGTTAGCATAAAGTATATATATGAAGGAATCTCAATCATATTTAAATACATAAATATAAAATGCCACTTTATCTAAAAAATAAAACATTCGATCAACGTGACTACCAGGTATGACCTATGCAAGCGAAACCTGATCAATTAAAAGCACCGTCATAAAGAAACTGCAGATCACACAACGCTCGATGGCATTCACAGAATCAAATCCCCCAAGTGACAATCAACAGGACACCTGGCCAGAAGGACAACAACTAGATATTAAGAACAACAACTATATATTAAGAAATTAGCAGGGATAACTTTCTTAGGTATCTTTTTTTAGCAGCAAACATAGGGAGATTATCTAAATATGTAAGGGTACACCTTTACGGAAATGGTGCATGAGCTGGAAATGATGATAATGAAGCACTAGAGCAGAAACGAATACCCACAAGCAGTTTTATATGATATCCCCCTAAATACACATTGATATTTGGCATAAACAATTATACATTATATATAAATATATTAATCGGTTTAAAACGTTCCACGTCTTCCGATGCCATCTCTCCATGCCTATCTGTCTCTCCATGCACCGTCTCCGAGAGATCTTTCCTCCATAAACGTGTCAATCCCTTCCTACCAACTTCTTCTCGGTCTACCCAGTTTTCTTCTTCCTGCAGGTTTCCGGTTTATAATTTGCTTTGGTATTCTTATTTCTGCCATTCTTTGGACATGCCCGTACCATATGAGTTGACTGTTCTTTATCTCGTCCACTATTGTATGTTTAACCTCCATAATCTCTCTTATGTGTTCATTAGTTATTCGTTGATTTGCCTGCTGATCTCCTCCAAAAATCCATATCTGTAGCTTCCAGCATTCTTTTTGTTGTTTCCTTAATTGGCTACATTTCACAACTGTACGTGGTTATACTCTTGATGATGGTATTATATATTAGTGTTTTGTTTTGGTTTGGTTGTTGTTTATGCTTCCTGTTGTTTATGCTTCTGTCCCACAGTATCCCCATTTAATACCGTGATAGCATTCCTTCCAAGTTGGTTTCGTTCTTTAATTGCTGTATCCAACAGTCCATCATTTGTGATTTGCATACTCAAATATTTGTATTTTGTGCAGCACTTAATCTTCTTCCCTTCTTCTAGGATTAGGTCTTATTGTTCTCCTCCGATACACATATATTCTGTTTTGTTAGTATTGATCTCCAGTCCCCATTTCTGATATTCTTCTATAAGCTTACGTGTCATATAATTTATGTCATCGTAATCTTGTGCTATGAGCACCTGATCGTCCGCGAAGCACAGTGTGTAGAGCATGTTATCCCCTATGGGTACTCCCATATTTCTACATTTTTGCTTCCAACCTTTGAGAACTTGTTCGAGATAGATCTTGAACAGTGTTGGTGATATACAGCACTCTTGTTTCAGATTTGGTTCTATTAAATCCTGTTGTTAACTTTTTGCCGACTTTTATTTTTATTTTTGTTTGATTATATGATTTTACTGCTTTTATTAGCTCCACGTTTATACTGGTATTTTCCATAGCTTCCAAAAGTCTCACAAGGGGAACGCTGTCGTGTGCCTTCTGCAGGTCCACGAACACAAGATGTAGCTCTTGGTTTAGATTGCTCTTTTTACTTGTGACTTGAGTGACTGTAAATAAGTGGTCCACCGTCGATCTTCCGGCTCTAAATCCTGCTTGTTCTTCGGCTTCTATTTCTTGGTATTCGTTTTCGATTCTATTTCTCACAATTTTTCCATATATTCTACTCACGGTGGTTGTTACTGATATTCCCCTGTAGTTTTCGCACAATTTTACATTACATAATATAATGTGAAAATCCGTTTTATATTTTATAGGACAGTCCTTTCTTTTGTACTGCTGTCTTGTGGTGTGGGTTTCCTGAAGTGTAAAGTGTCATGTATTTTAATGATAAAACAATATTGATGTTATTTTTTTCTATTTAAAATACAAAAAATCATCACACTCTACAGTAAGATTCTTCTATAACCTGCTACTTTACTAAATCGTACTGGTACAAACTGAGCCACCACACAGATGTATTTTTAGGCAACATCATGGGAGGAAACAAAATAAATTATTTGTGATCTTTTTAAAAGTACGGTGATTTTTAACGATGTGAAAGATGTAGGGAAATACGAATATTTTTTAGTTTGAGAAAAAGATACAAGTATACACATATTCAGTTTCATTCTCCTAAATCATAGCAGTTCAGAAAAAATATGGATCAGAAAAAGGACTGTCTAAAACCACAAAGAAACTGCTAATGCTCAACAGGAATAAAGTGCGGATTACAGAAGGCCTCTTGACAGGACATATGGGTGTCAAGTGTTACCTGAACAAGCCTGTATCAAAGAAGCCTTTACTGCAGACACTGTGATAAAGATCCTGAAACTTTCAGATAGATCACATAATATGTCATTTTTATTATGTGTCAACACTTTCTATTTGGGAAAGCAAGCCTAGAACCGGTGGAACTATGCTCCCATTCTAACAAGGACCTGCACAAGTTGGTGCAGGGTACAGGGATAGAACAGTAGGTGTAGACATAGAAAGAAAGGAGACAAACACAATAAGTCTTACAGGTCGCAGTGTTTAATGTGCTCCTTAATATTGAGAGAAAAAAAACTGTTTAATAAAAATGTATAAACTCAGCAATACAATATTAAAATTTCCACGTCTCCCTCGTACAATCAACAACCAAATTATAATGTCGCATCTTATTTTATCTCTTTTCTTTCTTTTTCGTATTCTCATTTTATCTCCGTCACTTTTTCTTCTACCGCAACGTACCTGCCGGTGTTGGTTGGTGTTCGACTTTATTTATTTCTTAATAGGTAGTCAAAAACGTCGAGATACGAAATGAGAGACACGTTAAAAAGTCTACGGTTGGACACTTTGGCGCCCTGACGATTCTTTTTATTATTTTTCAGCTCGATGTGTTGTGTTTCGACTAAATTGGAATCTATATACGTCTATCTTTTTTAGATTTGTTCATTTTTGTATGAGAAGAAAAAAAAGTGTTGAATATTTTGAAATTTAAATTTGAATGAATGTTTGTTTTTTTCAGCCAACAAGAACATGAAATCTGACAGGTTTCATAAAATGAAGGTGTCTAGAAATTAGGTAGTTCCTTTTTCCATTATCTGTCATAATTTTCGTAATTTGGCTCTGTGTTGTGGGTATATACAGTTCCGGTATATCTGTTGATTATAACTTCATAACTTAATTCATTATAATATTTTTGAGAATTGTTGAGTAGCTTTATTAATAAACTAGCGTGTACCCGCGATTTCGTTCGCGTCGAATTAATCATTTGCAATGGTGATGATAAAGCAAATCAAGAATTTCCAATAATATACAATCTGGATAAAATTTTATCACATTTATGTCAGCATTAGAAACCCCTCCTTATCGAACATCTACACCTCACAGTCAATCCGTTTGCCAAAAATCAGCTTTAAACGTCAAGCAGTTTAAGTTGTAAGGAAAATCGTGATTACTCAGTGGACATATTGTATGAAACACCCTGTATAATTTTTTTAAAAATTTTAAAATTTGTAAAACAACAAAATAAAGTATACGTGTTTAAGAGTTTTTCCGAAAAACTCACCGGTTTTTAAATAAAAAATATTCTAATATTTGAGAGGTAGTTTCACCCCCTTAGAATTTGAGTTTCGAAAAATCCCTTCTTATCGAACCTCTACACCCTAAAGTCAATGCGTTTTCCAAAAATCAGCATTTTACGTCAAGCACGATCGTGATTAATCAATGACCAGATTTTTCGAAACACCCTGTATACATTTTTAAAAAATCTTATAATATGTAAAAAAATAAAAGAAAATATAGGTGTTTTTTCGGAAACTTGACCGTTTTTTAAATAAAAAATATTGTAGTATTGGAGGGGTGGTTTCACCCCCTTGGAACTGGAATTTCGGAAAATCCCTTCTTATCGAACCTCTACACCCTAGAATCAACCTGTCTGCCAAAATTGAGCTTCTTACGTTGAGTGGTTTGAGTCTTCCGATGCCATCTCTCCATGCCTGTCTGTCTCTCCATGCACCGTATCCGAGAGATCTTTCCTCCATAAACGTGTCAATCCCTTCCTACCAACTTCTTCTCGGTCTACCCAGTTTTACCCAGAGGTTGCTAACCTCTACACCCTAGAATCAACCTGTCTGCCAAAATTGAGCTTCTTACGTTGAATGGTTTGAGCAGGATCGTGATTAATCAGTGAGTCAGTCACTTAAGGATTTTATATATTAGTATAGATTTGTAAGCCAAAGTAGTCGTAAATGTCACTGAAGAAACAGCATTGGCTACTGGCAGATATAGAGGAAAGTTGTCTATATCGTACCATTGGCGAGATACCTTGTGGTGTATCTTTTTCAAGTAGCAAAAGTGCTCGAAGGAATCATACATAACAAAAATTCTTGGTATATGTACCCAAATATTTTGATGACTTATGGTGATTTTATATGGCTTTGCTACTCTTTTTAACTTTTGTGCAAAGTGGTATGGATTAGGCATCCCTTAGAATGTGGAACTATATATTCTGTTCTTAGAGGGTGTAAATGAATAAGTGTATAATAAAAAATAATCTGATTTTTAAAAGTACACATGGGTACATGTTTTCATATTTTAATTGTTCGTGTATAATATTTTTAAAATTCTAATTTTTTTATTTAATCTTTCATTTGGTTATTGATTTAAAATCATTTTATACATGTTATTGATTAATTTGTTCACACTTCATTCATATCTTGTATATTTCAAGTTTATAAATAAAAGTAAATCGTAGTTAAAATGTAAAATTTCGTTCACATTGCCCTTTTTTAATTCGAGTTTATTCTGATAGAAATAATATTATGCAGTTAAAATTCCACCTTTCAGTCTAATTCCTCTTTATCTTCATTCTACAGTGACAGCCCCGAGCTTTTCCCATCGCTTCCAGTAAGTATAGGATATAGTGTCACAGATAAAATGGTCATCATATGATTTTTTTTTGCTTTCAAATGGTTTAAAATTACATAAACAATTTATATTCGGTGTGAATTAAAATTTTGCTTACGTAATCGAGGGTGATTTTCAGGGGTGGATACAGGAATTTTAGGGGGGGCCCAAGTAAAAAGTAATGCAGAATATGCTTTTTAGGACGCCATTTTTAACCCAAAAGCCTAATATTTAACCCAATTTATAGGTTTTAGGGGGGGCTTGGGCCCCATGGGCCCCCTCTTTATCCGCTACTGGTGATTTTTAAATTCATTGTTGGTCAACCATAAAAATATACGGCGCCGGGCTGGCCAACTGGAATTTAAATTTCGCGCTGGGGATTCAAGTGGGGACTCTGCTGTAAAAAATGTCGTAAAGTGTAGTGTTGTGATACTTTAAGCTTAAAATTTTTTACTAGCAGACCTTGCAATCAAACATTGTTCTTTTTAGAACCTCTTTTAGTGCGAAGTGGTACACGGTAGCTTAATAGCCGTAAAAAATCATCGCAATTTTATTTGAATATTTTGAACGGCAAAGCGGTAGTAATGGCCTTTTATGCCCCTTAAGTGCTGTTAAGAAGGTGAGTTTTGTTGATGTAAATAATAACTGCTTATATATTTATAATTAATTTATTTTTGTTTCCTAAAATACTTTGATTAAAAGAAAATATGTAAAAGTGGGCAACGCTGTGCCACTCAAGCTTAATCACGTGACTAAAATTTTATTTGATATGAACTATAGCTTTTTGCTCTACTATAGATATCGGAGACAGCCGGGTAAAAATGCACTTTAACTGTCAAATTTGACATTTAAAAAAATAGATGATTAAAAAATCAATTGACTATCCTAATTTTGAAAAACTTTTCTATTTTAAAATATAACAAAATAACAGATTGTAGAGGTAGTCCGTTTATCAGTTAAATATAAGAAAAAATAAATGTAGTTGAAAAAAATTGACTTGCGTTATGCAAAGTGCATAATATTCCCATATTTAACTTGCCCAATGTGACTTCATTCCCAAAGAACTTTTCTCACTAATGACTCAAGTTAAGTTTAGATTTTTTTAAACTCTACCATAGTGCCTACTAAAATTTAGTTAAACAAATGTACAGGGTGGCTCGAATTCGACGCTTATCATTGGGATTTCGGAAACCGTAAGAGATATACAGATTCGGTTAAATGGGGGCAAAGTTGCGCAATTTGATGCTCAATAAAATGCCGTATTGCATTTTTATTTTTTATTTTTTTGCATAAAATATTCTGGTTATGGAATTTTCTGTACGGAACAAAATGACTATATATAGTGTTTTATGAGTGATGAAAGGATTTAATTAAATTGAAAAAAAATCAGGTCCGTATTTAAGAAAAAATTAAGTTGATGATGGTCACCAGAAGCCGAAACATCAGAGTCAATATTTAATCACACAGAGTTATATTAATCTCCTTCGACTTTATTGTCTGTAGATCGTGGTGTTCCTCAGGGCAGTATTCTTGGTCCACTTCTGTTCTCTATTTATACGGCAGATTTTAAAACGTATTTAAAAAATTTATCTTCACATCAGTATGCTGATGATTTTCAAGTCTACTGTTCCTTGAGTAAAGATTTCAAAGCCTCCGAAATCAAAATAAATGAAGATCTGAGAATAATTTACGACATTTCACACCATCATGGTCTTTTCTTAAACCCTAATAAGACTCAACTAATTTTTGTAGGTAATAACTCGCCAGATGTTTCTCAAAAATTAAATATCGTACTTGACAATATCACCATTACACCTGCTAAAAACTGCAAAAATCTTGGGGTTTATTTTGATTCTAAACTGAGATTTGAAAAGCATGTATCATATATTTTGCAGAAATCGTATTGTAAGTTAAAGACACTATATTTATACAAAGATTTTCTTAACAGAGATGTTAAATTGACCTTGTGTAAAAGCCTAATTCTTCCATTGGTCTTCTACTGCAACACTGTCTACTGGCCTGCTCTACTTAACAAGGATAATCAAAGCTTAACAAAACTTGTCAACTCTTGCTTAAGGTATTCATTTGGTACTTCTAAATTTG